CCCGACTCGATGGCACTTAACAACAACAACAACAATATTCTAGGTCATATTTTGGCTCTCATGGACTTGTTTTAATTTTCTTCAGCTTCAGTTTGAATTTGCATATCTAGGATAGTCTGAGCATAAAATGTTTACTCTGGAATGAATGCTGATTCTCCCCATATTTCTAACTGCTTTTATAATTTTGAGAAATTTGACTAGCTCCCTCAAAGATGTCTGTCTGAGGTTTTGGGTAAGGTCACAATGACCAAGGACACATTGAGGATGAACAGTCTTATTTTTCAGAAAGGATATGTCATCTGGATCTCTAGCTTTTGGGAACCTTCTAGAAGGTTAGTCAGAGCTGTGAGTCTGGGGAGGCACAGACAAAAAGAGTGGTGACCCCAGGCAAGTCTGGCCTCCGAGAGGCAGCTGAAAGGGACTTGGGCCCTCTCCTTAGTCTTTCTGGAGACTGCCTAGAGGAGAGATTGCCAGCCCATTTCCCATCTGTGAACTTGAACTCGGAACTTCAGACTAGAAACTCTGATGTTTTGTTGCTGTCTTCTTTATGTTTGCTCTTGTAAGCCTTGCTTCCTTTCCTTGTATTTTAGCAAAACATCCCTCATGTAGTGTTAAATAATTAAGTGAGAAAGAGCATTTTTTTCTTTCATTAAAATGCTTACTAAAATGATTTTTGCTTCCCTGTTAAGTGTAACCCAAAGCAAGAAACTAAAAAGCCTGTTGCTGTTCCCAATTGATTCTGACTCGTGCAGACCCCATGCGTTACAGAGCAGAACCGCTCCATAGGGTAATCTTTACTGGTGGTGCTGTAGGATAAGCACTGGGCTGCTAACTGCAAGGAAGGCAGTTCAAACCCACCAAGAGAAAAATGAGGCTGTCTGCTCCTGTAAAGATGCACAGCTTTGGAACCCCTATACAAGGACACTATGAGTCAGAATCGACTCATTGACAGTGGGTTAATATTAGCAGGAAGGAGCCCCGGTAGTGCAGTGCTTATGCACTAGGTTCTAGCTAAAAGTTCAGAATTTCAAACTCACTTAGTGGCTCCAAGAAAGAAAGATCTGGCAGTCAACTGCATGGCCCCCAACAACAACAAGCTTTACAGAAGGAGACTGCCAGACCTTTCTTCCGCGGCGCTGCTGGGTTTTAACCCGCTCACAGAGTTAAGGTTGTTAAGTGTAGTAGAGTGGGCTACAACTCATAGAGACCCTGTATAGGATGTCCAAGGAGTGGATGGTGAGTGTGACCTGCCAACCTTGTGGTTCAAACTGACCTTGTGGCCCAGTGCTGTATCCCACAGCACAGTAGTCTAACGAAAACAGCATCACCAATGGAATTATAACAAGTCAAAAAGCAAAGCTATGCTGTAGTGGGAAGGAGGACCTTATTCCCACTGGGTGCAATGGTAACTGGAGAAGCTGCTGTAAAGATGAGGTGACCAGAAGTCACAGAGAGTCCAGTTTAAAGGACTGGGGGCACAGGAATTGGGGAAGCCTTGTGGAAGGACTTACAGATCTATTCCTCCTTGGCCACGAAGCAACAACAACAACAACAAAAAAAAACCAGACACACAAGTGATGCAGAAGTATGAGCCTGCTACAAGACATCAGCAAATTGTGCATCTTACAAAGAACATGCTGTGTCTGTCTGCTTTCTATAGTTGCTGTATTTGTTGTTGTGTGCCATCGAGTCGGTTCTGACTCATTGCCACCTTGTATAGGGTTTCTGAGAGCGGCCGGTGGGTTTGAACTGCCGACCGGACAGTTACAGTCCAATGCTTATCGTACAGTGCCACACCAGAGCTTGTTTTCCCTTGGTAGTATATGATTTATAACAACTGCATCAAATGGAACACATTTCCTCCATGGAAACCTTTTTAAAAATGAAGGAAAGCATCTGGCCCAATTGGCAGAGAAGTTCATTCCTTGAAGCCTGATGGGCCAAGTTGGTAAATAATCTATTTGTCAAAGAAACTATTTGTTAAATTTACCAAATGTTCTGACTGGCTTTAAGAGCATTTAAAACAAAAGTACAGTTTGGTGACTGATAGGGAACGATTCTCTTCAGTGTAGTAAAAAGGCTGAGACTAATATAGCTTCAGATGAATGGACAAGGAATCTTGAAGCAACTATAGGAATAAACCTTGTGCCTTTGGAATGCTATTTTCCAACCATAATCTCAACCTTTCATATGGGATGGGATTGTTCTAGCTCTTTGGGGTATTATTTTCCAGATGTTCAAGGTTTGATATTGTTGTTGTTAAGTGCCGTAGAGTTGGTTCTGACCCATAGCAACCCTGTATAGGGCTTCCGAGGAGTGACTGATGAGCTTGAACTGCCAACCCTGCAATCCAGAGCATTAACCCACAGCGCCACACCAGGAAGATTCTTTTGCTAATTCTTCAGGGTAGTCCTGGTATGACTCTATAGGTTACACACTGCCTGCTAACCGCGAGGTCAGCAGTTCAAACACACTAGCTGCTCCTCAGAAACCCTATACAGGGTTGCTCTGAGTGGGAATCAACCTGAAGGCACTTAACAACTCTTCAGGAGAAATATCAGGTGCTATTGTGCCTTTTTAACAATTAAAATGGACCAAGACTTGACATTAATTTGAATGTTACTCAAAATGTAAAATCAAAAGGGCCTTAAAAAAAGCAGTCAGAATTTAGCCCTTCTGCGAGTTCAGCATTGAAAAACGGACGTGTTGGTGAACTGGCTGACATGAAAAAATTTGCCATCACTGGTGACTTGGGGCCATCACCACACAGGCAGGAGACAGACTGACTTCAATCCATTTCCCCTTGGTGCGCCGGAACCCAGGTGGCATAGTGGGTTAGACATTGGGCTGCTAACCACAAGGTTAGTGGTTCAAATCCACCAACCTCTCTGAGGAAGAAAGATGAGGCTTTCTGCACACACAAAGATTTATTGCCTTGGAAACCTTACACAGGGGTACCTTACACAAGTTACAATAACTTGGTGCTCTGACGTGCTTGTGGCCCCTAACTCATGGTGACCCCACATACAAACCCCCCACTCACAATGAAACACTGCCCGCATCTGTTCCATCCCATGATTTGTTGTGGATTGGACAGTTGTGATTCATTGGCTGATTTTCAGGCCTTTCTCCCTAAGCCACGCTAGTCTGATACTCCCATTGAAATAGTCAGCGTCACTGCAACGTGCAAGCCTCCATGGCTGGCAAGTGGTGGCTGGGAATTGAACCTGGGTCTCCCACATGGAAGGTGAGAATTCTATAGCTCAGCCACTGCTGCCTCATTGGTGGTGGTGGTTGTGTGCCGTGGAGAGGGTTTCTACTCAGAGCAACCCTGTGTATGGTTTCCTAGCAACCGTGTGTATGGTTTCCTAGCAACCCTGTATAGAGTTTCCTAGGCTGTAACTCTTTAGGAGAGCAAAAGGTTTCATCTTTCTCCTGCTGAGAGGCTGGTGGATTCAAACTGCCGTTCTTGTGGCTAGTAGTCCAACTCATACTCCACTCTACCACGAGGACTGCTTATTGTCTCTTTGTTGTTATTGTTGTTGTTAAGTGCCATCAAGTTGGTTCCGATGCATAGTGACCCTGTATACGGTTTCCAGGGAGCAGCTGGTGGGTTGGAACCACCATCCTTGTGGTTAGCAGTCCAGTGTTTGTCCTACAATGCCACACTAGCACTCCTTACTGCCTCATTGTTGTTGTTGCTGTTGTTAAGCGCTGTTGAGTTGGTTCCAACTCACAATGACCCCGTGTGGGGTTTCCGAGGTGTGACGGCTGGTGGGTTCGAACTGTAGTAGTCCGAGGCTGGAGTCCTGGTGTAGTGCTGTGGGTTAATGTGTTAGACTGCAGGTCAGTTTGAAACTCAGAGTCAGTGGTTCAAGCTTTATCAGCCACTCCTCAGAAAACCTATACAGAGTGTGAATCGGAATTGACAACAACAGTCCAGTGTTTATCCTATAGCAACACACCAGGACTGCCTCATTAGAGAATGGAAAAATCGCCAAAGGGCTGCTGGCTGCAGCAAGGAGGAAATGTTCACAGCTAAAGTCTCCAATGCCGCCCACTGGAGCCAGGGTGAAAGTCCTCACCCCCACTCCCTGCTCCCAATTAACTGGCGTCACATCAACTTTCATTAAAAACAACAACACTCAAGTTACAGTTCAAATACCACAAAATCAAAACCTCCAAACAGCCACAAGGACTTCTGAGCTCTGGCAACGGCCCAATTATTCTGAATGTGTGGGCATCTGGACAACCAGGAGGCCACACTAATGAGCAGGCATCCTGACCCTCCTCTCCCACCCACCCCCACCCCTGCCTGACCCCTACACAGAGCGGCCCTTACCCATAAAGCTCCTTGCACAGGAGGGTGGTCAGTTTCTTCAGGTTCGGGAGGTTGCTTGAGCCCGTTTTCACAAACTCACAGTCCAGGGTGAGCTGCGTGCTTAAATATTCCTGAATGGCTTTCAGATGCTCTTCCGGAAGCCTGGAAAAAAACAACAAAACAGGCTTAAAGAGAAAAATACAAAAGAATGATGGTCCAGAAAAGGAGCGAGGGAGCCAAACATACAACAGGAATGGTCACCAGTATCGCCCACTCAGCCCACGATACAATGTTTTTTTCAAAACGTGCTTGAAAAAATGGAAAAATAAAAACAAATCAAGGACTTTTTCCACAAACTTTTGAAGCCCGCTTATTCATATTTGCTTCAACATCATTTGGAATAAGATCATAGAATACAGACAAATCATGTCGGTAAGACAAAACAAAACAAAAATTCTAGAATCCTCAATAAATGTGTTTTGAAAGAAACCGAACTGAAATACAAAAGCAACAGCAGCTATGATAGAAACGCGTAACCCTTTCATGGCAGAACTATTGAGTACAAGTATGTGGGACACATAGGTCCCAAGGGGACTCTGGTGGTAGGAATGGTGGGGTGAGACCCATTTCTTCAGATTCATGCAGTTACACAAGTCTCCACCAGGTGGCAGCATGTGCTACAACCAGGATAGCAGCTTCCCAAGGCCCACGGAGCCCAAGAGGCTGAAAATGTTGGTGGCTGATAGATGTCCCATGGGTCACTAAAGGGATAACCTGTCCCCTTTAGACACAAACACTAACAGGAACTAGAGCCTTTGACACAACAAATCTTTCTCAGCGTCTCCGTACACCATCTTTCAGGGAATACTGGCATACCTGTGGGTTCATGGATCTGACCATGAAGCAAGGAAGAGGCGCCTTGGACTGGCTCACAAAGCCAGCTCTGTCTGTCTGCCCACCCCAATGGGTGGTACCAGAGGAAGTGATGCAGCCTGGGTGCCAGGAGGTATTCATTCTCTAAACCAGAGACAACGGTAGTAGGTGCTATCTTGTAAATTTTGACTTCTGGAGAGCCCATGGGTTACAGAGTAGCGTTGCTCCATAGGGTTTTCAAGGCTTTTCAGAAGCAGATGGTCAGGCCTGTCTTCCGGGGTGCATGGGGGGAATTCAGCTAGAAAACCACCCAGGGGCCGGGTTCCTAGTTATCTACTCACAGGCAGGCCCTGAGGGCTGGAAGGATGATCTTGACTGTTGATGAGTGTCATCAAGTCAGTTCCAACTCACAGCGACCCTGGGAGAGTGGCTAGTGGATTGAACCACTGACCTTGGAGGTCCAGTGCTTATCTAAACCAAAACCCAACCCACTGTCACTGAAGCGATTCTGCCTCATAGCGCTCCCTACAGGACAGAGTAGAACTGCCCCTTTGGGTTTCCAAGTCTGTAAGCCTTGAGGGTAGCAGACAGCCTTATGTTTCTCCACAGAGCGGCTGGTGGGTTGGAAATGCCAACCTTTTGGTTCACAGCCCAAGTCACTGAGCTGCCAAGGCTCTTTATGATCTAGTCTGATGCTATTGTTGGTTCTGACTCATAGTGACACTGTATAGGGTTTCTGAAGAGCAGCTGGTGGGTTTGAACCCACAACTTTGCAGTGAGCCGTCCAACACTTATCCGACAGCACCAGGACTCCATGATCTAGCTTAGAGATGGCAAATGGCTTCAGCTCACATGCCAACTCCAAGTTCACAAGGTCCCTGAGTGGTACAAATAGTTTGTGTATTCTGGAACACTTAATTGTGCTCATGAGGAATCTGTACCTGGACCAAGAGGCAGTTGTTCGAAGAGAACATGGGAACACTGAATGGTTTAAAATTAAGAAAGTTGTACGACAAGGTTGTATTCTTTCACCATACTTAGTCAACCTGTATGCTGAGCACATAATCCAAGAAGCTGGATTCTATGAAAAAAACGTGGCATCAGAATTGGAGGAAGACTCATTAACAACCTGCGATATGCAGATGATACAACCTTGCTTGCTGAAAGTGAAGAGGACTTAAAATATTTACCGATGAAGATCATTGACCACAGCCTTCGCTATGGATTAAATCTCAATGTAAAGAAAACAAATATCCTCACCACTGAACCAATAAACACCATTCTTATCAACGGAGAAAAGATTGAAGTTGTCAAGGACTTCATTCTTCTTGGATCAACTATCAACACTCAAAGAAGCAAAGGACGCATTGCATTAGGCAAATCTGCTGCGCAAGACCTTTTGAAAGTGTTGAAGAGCAAAGATGTCAGCTTGAGGACTAAGGTGCGCCTGACCCAAGCCATGGTATTTTCAATAACCTCATATGCATGCGAAAGGTGGACAGTGAATAAAGAAGACTGTAGAAGAATTGATGCTTTTGAGCTATGGTGTTGGAGGAGAATATTGAAAGTGCCATGGGCTGCCAAAGGAACCAATATATCCGTGTTGGAAGAAGTGCAACCAGAGTGCTCCTTGGAGGCCAAGTTGGCCAAACTTCATCTCTCATACTTCGGAAATATTGTCAGGAGGGACCAGTCACTGGAGACGGATATCATGTTTGGTAGGATGGAGGGTCAGAGAAAAAGAGGAAGACCCCCAATGAGATGGATTGGCCAAGTGGCAGCATCGATGAACTCACGCGTGGCAACAGTAGTGAAGTTGGCCCAGGATTGGGCAGTGTTTCATTCTGCTGTGCATAAGGTCGCTATGGGTCGGTACCGACTCAATGGCACCTAACAATGACAACAACAACTAACCTAAGGGTTGGTGACCCAAATCCACCCAGGGGCACCATGGAAGAAAGGCCTGTCGGTGAGATTACAGCCAAGAAAACCCTATGGAGAAATTGTACTCTGTGACACATAGGGTCACCATGGTCCCAACTGGGTTTGGTGTTTTGGTTGGCTATCTGGAGGGTTGTGTTGGCTCTGAGTCATCCTAGCCCTATGAGGGTGCCTGCAAGGTTAGTGATGTTGCTGTTGTAAGGAGTCATTTGGTGACACAAATGGTTAAGCGTTCAACTACTAACCGAAAGGTTGGTGGTTTGAATCCACTGAGAGGCCTGGTGAATTACTTCCAAAAGACCACAGCCTTTGAAAACCCTAGGGAGCATAGTTGTGTTGTTGTTAAGTGCTGCTGAGTCGGTTCAGAACCATAGTGACCCTGTATAGGGTTTCCGAGGAGCAGCTGGTGAGCTTGAACCGCCGACCTTGAAGTTCAAGCGGCTGGCACATTAACCCACAGTGCCACACCAGGCCTAGTTCTACCTAAAGCACATGGGGTCACCATGAGTCTGAATCAACTTGATGGCAACTGGTTTGGTGGCGCAGTAAAAGAGCGCTCACCATTTCTACATTCTCTGCTTGTTCAGCAGCATTAATTACACTCATCACACTGTTCAACTGCCAGCATTCAAATTGTATTTCTTCTGTTGGATCCTGGAAAGTACAAAAACCTGTTGCTCTGAAAATGGAAAACACCAGATTTGCTGGTTTGCCTTGTTTCCACTGGGAAGGGAAATCAGCAATGACTTGCATTCACTGATTGGGAATCACAGGGTCGGCAGTTCCAACTTCCCAGCTGCTCTTCGGAAACCCCATATACAATCAGGGTTGCTATGAGCAAGAACCAACTCAATGGCACTTAACAACAACAACAACAATAGGTTTTTCCCAGGTTTTGACATCATAAAGCATCCAGTTTCTTTTTGTCTGTTTACTAAAAATGCCAAACTCCCTCCTATGGTATCAAAATATTTCTTTTAATGGTTGTAGTGATTATATGTCAGAGGGATCTTGACTGAAAGCAGAGAATATCAGAATGATGTTTATTTATACTTTATTGACTACACAAAGGCTTTCGACTGTGTGGACCATGACAAGCTATGGACAATATAGTGAAGAATGAGTATTCCAGAACACTTCATTGTGCTCATGAGGAACCGGTACGTAGACCAAGAAACAGTCATTCAAACAAAACAGGAAGATACCGAATGGTTTAAAATCAGGAAAGCCGTGTGCCAGGGTTGTTGTATTCTTCCACCATACTTATTCAATCTTTAAGGACCTCTGGTACTGTCGTGGATTGCTAACTGGGCCGCTAACTACTAGGTCAATAATTCGAATCTACTATTTACTCCATGAGATAAAGAGGAGGCTTTCTGCTCCCGTAAAGACTTACAGCCTTAGAAACCCTGTACAGGGTCAGTAATGACTCAGAACCCACTCGGACATGCAACCACCACCACCATCATCACTGTATGCTGAGCACATAATCCGCGAAGCTGGGTTCTATGAAGAAAAATGTGGCATCAGGATTGGAGGAAGACTCATTAACAACCTGCAATATGCAGATGATACAACCTTGCTTGCTGCAAGTGAAGAGGACTTAAAACATTTACTGATGAAGATCAAAGAGCTCAGCCTTCGGTATGGATTGCATCTCAATGTCAAGAAAACAAAAGTCCTCACCCCTGGACCAATAATTGACATCATGATAAATGGAGAAAAGACTGAAGTTGTCAAAGACTTCATTTTACTTGGACCCACTATCAACACTCATGGAAGCAGTAGTCAAGAAATTAAACAACACACTTCATTTGGCCAATCTATGCACAAGACCTCTGTAAAATGTTGAAGAGCAAAGAGGTCAGTTTGAGGACTAAGGTGCATCTGATAGTCTTCTCACATGCATACACATGTTGAACAACGAAAAAGGAAGACCATAGAAGAATTGATGCATTGAAATGATTGGTGTTGGAGAAGAATATTAAAAGCACCATGGACTGCCAGAGGAAGAAACAAATCTGTGTTGGAAGAAATACAGCCAGAATGCTCCTTAGAAGCCAGGAGGGCAAGACTTTGTCTCTCATACTTCAGACATGTTGTCAGGAGGGACCATCTCTGGAGAAGGACATCACATCATGCTAGGTAAAGTGGAGGGTCAGCGAGAAAGAGGAAGATCCCCAACAAGATGGAATGGCACACGGCAGCATCGGTGGGCTCAAGGATAAGAACAATTGTGAGGATGGCCGAGGACCGGACAGTGCTTCCTTCTGTTGTGAATGGTAGGGTCGTTATGAGTCAGAACCGACTCAATGGTACACAACCACCGCCACCAATGACAATATGTT